GGGCAGGTCCCTCAGAAATAGGATTCCTGCCCTTATAAAAGCGGCCCCAGAGAACTCTCTTGCCCCTTTTGCCATGTGAGGACATAGCAAGAAGTTGCCATCTGTGAACCAGAAAGTGGGCCTTCACCAAACAACAGATCTGCCAGTGCCTTGATCTTGGACTTCCCAGAATCCAGAGCTGTGAGAAATATATTTCTGTTGTTTATAAGCTACCTGGTTTATGGTGTTTTGTTATAGCCAGCTGAATGGATTATGACATAGCCCAAGGAGGCTAATACACTATCTATCCTCTATCAATCATCTTTTACCGGTGGGTAGCAATTTGTCGGGCAGATAGTAGCCTCTTTCCCATTAATTCAGAGGCATCCCAGAAATGATTGAGTTTTGGGAATTATTATTAATAACAATTCCAGGCACTAAAGTTCCTGTTATTATATGTGAAAAGATGTGGGTGGCATAAAGGATTAGGTGACCTAGGTATTTTTCAGAATTGAGGCTTGAGTGACAGACAGTTTAATAACATATCGGCTGACATCTCGTACTGCTAATGAGATATATTTTTTGAACCCTGGGATTGAGTATCTTGAGTAACTCATGAGGTCAAAGGAGAGCCGATGTCTTCAGGCAGTTTTACGCATAATAAGTTTAATAAGATTTTTATTTTTAGGAGCAGTGGCTGTGCTTTACTTTCTGATAATTTATGAGAACAACAAATTGAGACAATAAGGCAGAGAAACTGAGAATTTGTGAAGCATTAATTTTAGTTTATTGTCTATTGCATTTTTTGTCAGTTGACTCATTTCCTCTCATTTTTACACTTACCAATGAGCTTAACACCTTTATAATGTATTACATGCCCAGTGATGAAGGACTAGACAGTCATTTTCTCTCCCTTACAATTCTGTTTAATATGACTAAATTATACCCAAAGAACGGCCTTTTCAGACCACCTTTTATGAGCTCTAAGAATGTAACAAGAAAAGGATCTGAGTTTATGAACCTATCTAGGTGGAGTTTTAAGTCAATGCCAAGTGGTTGTATGTGAAAATCTGTAGATTGCAGTTAGATTTTCAGTTGAGTGAGAATGTTTCCCTGGGAGTTTCTATTCTAAGAATTATTCCTCTACTTATAAATTATCTATGTGTCTGTCTATTTCCCTTGAGAGTGCGTATGTGCATATTATCTCTCTATCACCCTTAGCACTGAGCTTTCCATAGAAAACGTCATTCATTCATATTTATCAAACATATAATTATTTAGAATCCTACCGTTTTTAGACTTATTTGGGAGATAGACATGTACGTAAGCAAATAATTCAAGTAATCTCTTACAAGAGATGTAAAAGTTGTTATCGGAGCACAAACGAAGAGGTAATTAACTCTCCCAGGGAGGTTGGAGAAGAGGTAATATTGTAAATGTATCAGGAGGGATAGTGGGGAGTTGGCATAGAGGAAAAGGGTAAGGCCTTTCTTGACAGAGGGCACAGCATGGATACAGGCAAGGAGAACACAATGATGCTCTTTAGAAGGGCTGGGGAACATAGAGATTACCTAAATGTGTACAGCTGTGAGGATGATTTACCATGATAGGTCTGTGTAAAAGCAAAGGCTGTTTTGCTTTAGATGTGCAGTATCTTTCATGCTGTATGCTTGCTGCTCCTCAAACATGTTGTTCACATCCATGCCTTTGTTCTCATCATTCCTTCTGCCTAAATACCTCTTACTCATCCTTTGGGGCCTAGCTCTTCTGTGAAACTTTTTAACACTTTCCTGGCAGAATTTATTGCTCCATCTTCTATGTTCCCACAGCACTGTGCTCATATTGCTATGCAAGTATCATATGGGTATTGTTCATATTGACATTTTCCTTACTGGATTGTGAGGTCTTCAAGTGCTGATACTACATATAGTTTTCTTTTTGTATTCTTATTAGCATAATGACTGGCAAACAATATGTATTTAAAACATGAAGAATCAGTACGGATGACCCCCTTAATGCTCCAGACAGAATTATTTTTAAAAGAGAAGTAGCTTGGCTCATTGAGAAGAGGCCAGTATGAGGATACTAGAAACTGAAAAACTTCACTTTGTTTCTTGGTGCTAACCAGCTGTATGGCAACAGGCTTGCCCCTTAACCTGGGGCTTCATCTTCGCTCATATGGATAGTGTAGTACCTTATCAGCATAAAGCCAGGAGGTGGAGTGAAATGATCTTCTGCGATTCTTTCTGACTCTAACAGCTGGAATTTAAAAATGTCTCTGATGAATTGATTTTATATTTACTCATATTTTCTTCATTTTCCTTTGAAGTGTCAGGAGACTTTATTATTTATCTGCTTAACTGTTCTCATAAATAATACATGGAGGTTTTTTATTACAAGGTATTAGTGAAGGAAACTAAAATCCTGAGTTTGTGCTCAGAATAGTCATAGAGTCAGAATGGATACTTGGAGCATCTTGAGAATATCTTGCTGTCTCTAGACAGTTCTCAAACTATTCTCCAACTGACTTTGTGCAAAAGTAATTGTATGTTGTTTTCTCTAAACTGGTATATTAACATACTATCTCCAAAAACTTTCTTTTTGAGTTGAATTTCTAATGAATTGATTAGCAGACAGATGGTCAGAATCTAGGAAAATAATAATAAATTATTTTGTCAATATTCACAGTGAACATCCTTTGAGATACTGAAGGAAAAAGGAAATAACTCAAATTCTTTTTCATCTGTTTGTTGTAATCAGCAAAACATGGCCAACTAAGTGTATCAGGTAAAAATATGATTTTATAAACTATTATGTGATTCGTCAATGAAGTATTAAAACAAAACCAACATTTATAATACTGTTCCAATAAGCAATAAATCACTTTCACTGTTCTGATAACTGAGAAGATTGTGAATCTATTCTTGAAAATTATTACTTTTTATTAAGTGATATTGTGAACTGAGCACTGTAGTAATTAACACAAACACAACCTGTGGCTCTTGGGCATTGAGGGACTTTTCAGAGCTTTGTCTGAAAATGGTGGTCTGCAGTGAGAATAGCAGTTGAGAGCACACAGAGGGCTGACTGGGTAGGATAGGGCTGCAGAAACAGCCCTCTGCTTCTATGTGTTGGAAGGTAATGGCAGGTTAACCAGAGAAGGGAATGGTGTCTTGTTATGAGAGAGACCTATTTTTTTTCCTCTATGTCTCAGAAGAGAGTAGCTACATCACAGATATTAGTCTTCCTTAGGGGAGTATTTAGAAGGCTTTGTTTTGATGTTGCAGTGTCCTGTAGGGAGGAAGAGGCTAGGCTCCTTTGCCAGCTTGCCAGCTTGCTAACCTGTTTGGCAGGGAAGGTGGGGCATAGATATTAAGCTCTCAAGACCCAGACCAGAGCCTAGCTAGATTCAACACTTTGAGCTGCGTGCAATGACCACCTGGACCAGGTAATCTTTTCACATGCATAATTTAAAGTAATATTTCAATGGTTTTTTGGTTATAAAAGTAAAACATTACTATTGCAGGAAACTTGAAAAATATAAAATGGAAAGTTCAAACAAGAAAATTAGAAACACCCCAAATCAGAAATGCCCACTGTCAATATTCTATACACTTGAACATAATTGAGATCGTAGTTTGTATACAGTTGTTTGTTGCTGAACATTATGTTATAAGCACTTGTTAAACCTTTGAAAATGCTTCTTAAGCATTATTTTTAGTAGCAGGTTTACATGGAAGAAGATTCATAGTTTATATAACATATCCTCTATTTTTGATATTTAGATTGTTTCAAAATTTTTCTGCTTATATATTCTGTTCAAAGAATGGCTTTCTTCATAAAGTTTCTTCTACTCTTTAGATATTTCAGTAGGATGATTTCCTAGAAATAGAATTATGTCAAGAGATATGGGTATTTTTTAGACTCCCAGTATGTACTATCTTTATAGAACTGTTATGTTGCTGCATCCTCTGTTTAATTTTCATGTTTCCTCTTATGCTTTTCTCATGGGGTGCAAGATTTTCTGAAACTGAGAATGACTGTGTCCACCCACTCTAGGCCAACCACTCTAGTGCCAGTCAACGGATCAATGATGGTCCTTTGACTTTGACTTAGACCCTGTGAGAGATTTAATAAGAAGTGAAACATATAGTTGTGTTATAGAAGTCTATAATCCAGCAAAACTAATGCATGTGGAAAAATTCACAAACAATTCAAGATAGAATCTCTGTAACCTTTCTTTGTAGGACACATATGCAATAGGAATCTGAGGTTTCTACAACGTAGATTCTCAATGATCAGTGTGAGTCCCCAGTCAATCCTGGGCCACCATCTGCTCTAGGTTTCAGGGAGGAGTTTCTTATTCTGTCTTTTCAATGAAGGTGTCTCAACATACCAACAAGTGTGCCTTCTAATCCCCACAATCTTCCCCTGGATAAGGACAATAATGATGATGATGCCTAACACTTACTGAGCCATTTACCTTGTGCCAGGCATGGAGTAAAATCATTTATATGTATTATCTCATGTTATCTGTCTAACATCCCTGTGAGGTGGTAGTATTATCCTTATTTTATGAATGATAAAACTGTTGCTTAGAGTGATATTAAGAGATTTCCCCAAGGTCATACAGTAGTCAGGGGAAGAGAATTATTCCAGCCAGGTGTGTCAGTTCAGAGTCTGTGATCTTGAACACAAAACCACACAGGCTCTCATGCTGGAAAGGCAAGAAGCTGAGCCTCTGCTAGGGAGTGTTTCTCTGTCAGACTCTCCAGCTAGAGTCTAACTGCTCTTTGCAGAGGCAGCTCCAGGCAAAGGATTTTCTTGTTGTTTGTGGCCACAAGTCCAGCAGCTACTCTCCATGATGTCTCTTATCAGGGATGTTACTATTCAGCATTGCTCTTGCAGATCCTCCCATCAGAGCAGTTCAATAGATTCTTTGGTGTTGGCTGAAGTCTGACTTTCTGGACTCCCTCTCAACAATGGCGTGTTTAGCCTTACTCTTGGCATCACCTCTGCAGGGTGTCTGACAGCACTGCACCCACAGCTCTGCATAAATTCTCAACCCTTTGGAGGAACGACGGAAGCTGCAGTTGCCCCCACTCAAGGCTAAGTGCCTAGACTCACTCATGGCGAGTACATGTTCTTTCCCTACGTATACCCTCTGTAGAACTGCAAAATCATAGAATATTATCATTCTCTCCCTGCAATATTAAAATCCATACCTGTTGTGGACTTGGCAGTAACCTAAAATTCCTCTTTTTGTGTTCTCCCCATAGACCTTTGACACAGATGAATATCAAGCTCCAGGAATATCTTCCCAACCAAATATGCAAACTCAAGTCTTTTGCCTGGATCCCATTAGGTGGTATTAAGGTTAAGCATTATAGGAACTCAAAGAAGATGCCAATAAAGGCTGAAATGACCAGGAAAGATTCCTTGGAGGAGGTGAAACTAGAGGTGAGTCTTGAAATGCCTAGGATTTAAACACCTGGGCTTGATGAGGGTGGACATTTTGGGAGGGACGACTTACATGTGTGATGGCAGGATACAAGAAATTTTATTTACCAGAATGTGAGAAAGCTGGGCTGACAGGAGTCACGCTATGGGCACAGAGATTATTTAACCTTCTCTTTGGTTGCTGAGGCCCCACAGCTCCTCTATGTAATGTACTATTTAAAGGCCAATGCTGAGCATTTCCTGGTGTGACAGCTCTTACATTAGCTGCTTCTCCTAGGTAGATCTTCCTGGTAAATGCCTTGAAAGTAGCGGCCCCCTCTAAATGTTTCTTTTGCAAGCAAGCTAGCTAGCTGCCCACTCAGAACTTTCTAGTTGTTCTTGAGACAAGTTTTTTCAGTTTTTCTTTATTCTGATTAATTTTTTTTGTTTGTTTTTGGTTGTCAGATATTCAAAATAGCTTAAACATTGAGGGAAATGTACTGGCTTGTGTAGCCAACAGAAAAGTTCTTCTTAGGTTTCAGGAGCAGCTTGATTCAGGGGCTCAACGTTTCCATGTTTCCATATTTTGGTTCTTTATCCCTCTGTTTTGGCTACCTGCTCAGAGAGAGTCTTGCCCTGTTGATGTCCCTGGATTCTTCTTTATATGTCTAAACATATGAAATAGAGGGCTTTTTTCTTACTGGTCGATTTGAAAAAGTGTCCTGGACTTGACTCTCAGTGGAATGAATTGCATCATATGCCCAACCCTGAGCCAGTTACTAGGGAAAAGGAGATAAGATGCTCTGATTGGTCAGGCCTGAATCATGCACTCACCCATGAAGGCAGACATGAAGTGCATTCAGCCCAACTACATGGACCAAACCTAGACCACATATAGTCTTCCATATAAAAGTAAGGGATGATGTTAACCAAGAAGGAGTAAATATATGCTAGGTAGTAAAAAACAACCTACATTTCCCATAGTGGGTCTCTGAATCTCCAAATATTAGGTTGAATAATCTCACTGGCCTAAAAGAATGGCTGGAATACCCTTCATTATTGCCTGGATTCCCTGGAAGGCTAGAGAGCTGTGCTGCTCACTGATGGAGGCACTTGCCTCACGGGGCCATTGCTGATATCCTGAAAGTCACTGAGAAGATTGAAGAGTCACTTTGATCTCAACTGGGAGAAAGTGATGAATGCTCTGGATGTGCATTGGATCAGCAGAGAGAGAAAGGAGGATGAGTTTATTATCTGGCTTGACTATGTTGGAAGTAAATAAGTGAAGCTGCTTAACTTAATCTCTCAGAGGCATCTTGTCTGAGGCAGGAGAGCACAGAAGTTAATAACATTGGCCTCTAAAGAAGGGCTGCCTGGGTTTGAACTTAGTTTCTTAGTATCAGTAAGCCTTAGTTTTCTATCTCTACAAAACAGTGTCCTGAGGATGCAATAAAATTATGCATGTAAAGCACTTGATACAGTGCATGGTACATACTCCATTATTGGCTTAATACTAATGTTAACAAATAATCCTTTGCACCAGCACATAATGTCACGAGAGCTTGAGAGAGTCTGTCTATCCAGAGGCATGTGAAGCGTAGGACATATTTTCTCCTATTGGACATGAAACTCTTTCTTTCAGCTCCATTTTATTTCCTGAGGGGCAAACAAGTCTGACTATAATCTTCCCATATGTGCTCTGACAACTAATGGCTTCTGGGAGTCACTACCACATCCCCTTCTCCCTCCCACAGAGTCCTGCCTATTCTATGAAAGATTTCATGAATCTGATCTCCCACTTCACTGCCACTGCCCCTATTCTTGTTCACAAGCTCATCTCTCCTGCCTGGTTAATTCAGGAATCTCTAACTGAGTTCCCTGTCTCTAGTCTCTTTCCATCTGGTCTAGTCGATATAATAACGACCTTACTCCTTAGCAAGGTATTACTTAAGGCTCTTTTTAGTCTGATTCCAGTCAACCCTTTCATCTGCAAGAATCTCCCCAACAAGACTTTTTTTTTTTTTTTTTTTTTTGAGATGGAGTTTCACTCTGTCGCTCAGGCTGGAGTGCAGTGGCGCGATCTCAGCTCACTGAAAGCTCTGCCTCCCAGGTTCACAGCATTCTCCTGCCTCAGCCTCCCGATTAGCTGGGACTACAGGCGCCCGCCGCCACGCCTGGTTTGTTTTTTTGCATTTTTAGTAGAGACACGGTTTCACCATGTTAGCCAGGATGGTCTCGAACTCCTGACCTCATGATCCACCCGCCTCGGCCTCCCAAAGTGCTGGGATTATAGGCATGAGCCACCATGCCCAGCCCACAAGACATTTTTTTAGGATCACAGCCACTGATGTTCGCTGTTCTTAGAAAACTCCATGCACCAGCATACTGGCAGGCCTTTCTCACATTGTTCTCACTGCCTATCTGCCTTAGCTGTTCTCTGCGTGGTTAACTTCTGCTTATCTTTTAAAGTTCAGCTCTTCTTCCCTGGGTCCCTTGTCCCTGTGCTTCCAGAGCTAGAGACAGATGTTAGTAGCATAGCATTTATCACACTATTTAACAATTGGCTGTGTACATGCCTCTGCTCTGATATGCACCATAAAGTCTTAGAAGAAAAGGAATATGGCTTATGCATTTTTATATACCAAGGGCCTAGAAAAGTGCCCTCAAATGCATATTTTCTACAATAAATATTTATTCTTAGGTTGTAAATTAAAAAGAGTAAAACACACTGCTATACATTTCTCATAATATACCACCATTTCAAGTGGTGCTTAGGACTTTTCTTTCTTTTCAAATGTATTTTTAATTATGTAAGTAAAAAGAAATATGTGAATGTTGATATGGTTTAGTTCTGGGTCCCCACTGAAATCTCAACTCGAATTGTAATCCCCATAATCCTCATGTGTCAAGGGCCGGACCAGGTGGAGGTAATTGGATCATGGGGGCGGTTCCTCCTATGCTGTTCTAGTGATAGTGAGTTCTCATAAGATTATGGTTTTACAAGTGTCTGGCATTTTCCCTGCTTGTATTCACTTCGTCCTTCCACCTAGTGAATAAGGTGCCTGCTTCTCCTCTGCTTTCTGCCATGATCCTAAGTTTCCTGAGGTCTCGGCAGCAATACGTAACTGTGAGTCAATTAAAGCCCTTTCCTTTATAAGTTACCCAGTCTTGGGTATTTCTTCATAACAGTGTGAGAATGGACTAATACACATGTATTCTTTTTCTTTTTTTTCTTTTCCCGGAGACAGGATTTTGCTCTCTCACTCGGGTTGGAGTGCAGTGGTGCAATCATGGCTCACTGAGCCTCGAACTCCTCCCACCTCAGCCTCCTGAGTAGCTAGGACTATAGGTGTGCTCCACTATACCCGGTTAACTTTTAACTTACGTTTTGTAGAGACGGGGGTCTCATCATATTGCCCAGGGTTTGTGAATCTATTCTTACTCTTAAAAATATATTAATTCCCTTTCCCCACATAACCACTGTTACTGGCTTGGTAGGTACTTTTCAAGACCTTTTACAATTTTTATTTATTTTAAAATAACAGCTCTATTGAGATATAATCCACATGCCATAAAATTCACTCTTTAAAAATGTACAGTTCAGTGGTTCTTAGTGTTTTCACACAGTTGTGCAACTATCTGATTTTAGAACATTTTCATCATTCCTTTAGTAGTCACTTCCCATTCCTCCCACTCCTCAGCCCCTGGCAACCACTAACTTACTTTCTGTCCCTATGAATTTGCCTCTTATGGACATTTCATATAAATGGAATCATATGAAAAGCATTTTGTGTTTGACTTGTGTCATTTTAGCATAATGTCTTCAGGGATCATCCATTTTGTAGATATGTTAGTATTTCATCCCTTTTTATGGCAGAATAATATTTTATGTATGCCATATTTTGTTTATCTGTTTATCAGTTGATGGACATTTGGGTTGTTTTCAGTTTTTGGCTATTATGAATAATGCTTTATGAATATTATTGTATAAGTATTTATGTAAATGCCTGTTTTTAATTCTCTTTGGTATATATCTAGGAATGAAATTGATGGATGATATGGTAACTATCTTTAACTTTTTGTTGGACTGCCAAACTGTTTTCTGCAGCAGCTGCACCATTTTGCATTCCCATCAGTAAAGTTTGGGGATTCCAACTTTTCCACATCCTTGTCGCCATTTGTTATATTGTCAGTCTTTTTGACCATAAGCATCTTAATGGGCATGAAGTATTCTCTGATTGTGATTTTGACTTTGATTTTCCCAGTGACTAATGATCTTGAGCATTTTTTAATGTGCCTATTGGCAATTCGTATATCTTCTTTGGAGAAATGTCTATTTAAACCTTTTGTTATTTTTTAACTGGGTTATTTGCCCTTTTTTTGAGTTGTAAGCATTCTTTATATATTGTGATATGTGATTTACAAATATATATATAGATATTTGTATATGTTATTAGATATATATCAGATATATTAGATATATAACTTACAAATAAATACATCATATATGTAATCAGCTATTTGTGAATAATATATTTTCTCAAATCACGTATCAGATAATTATTTACAAATATTTTCTTCCCAACTTTATCAGATATATAATTTGCAAATATTTTATTCACAACCTTTTAATATACATTTAAATAAATATATATTTATTTTGTGCATATATTTTTATATATAAAGATTTAACTCGTTTTTTTGGAGACAGAGTCTTGCTCTGTCACCCAGGCTGGAGTGCAGTGGCACGACCTCGGCTCACTGCAACCTCTGCCTCCCGGGTTCAAGTGATTCTTCTGCCTCAGCTTCCTGAGTAGCTGGAACTACAGGTGCATGCCACCACACCCGGCTAATTTTTGTGTTTTTTTTTAGTAGAGACGGAGTTTCACTACATTGGCCAGGCTGGTCTCGAACTCCTCAGGTGATCCACCCACCATGGCCTCCCAAAGTGTTGGGATTACAGGCATGAGCCACCGTGTCTGGCCTTGGTTTCTCTTTTTAATACACGTGGGATTATGCTATTTGTATTGTTGTGTAGATATCTTCCTAGGTCATTGTAGTGTAAGTCTTCCTCATTATTTTAAATTGCTGCATATATGTGCATAAATCATTGCCCTGATGATAGGCATTTTGATGAGTCTCAATATTTTTACTATAATGAACAATGCTGTAATGAGCATCGTGTAGAGGCTGCTTTCTATACATGTGCAAGTATGTAGCATACCTTGAAGAGGAATCACTGAATTTAAGGACATCTGCACTTCACACTTTAATATACACTATCAAAATTCCCATTAGAAAGGCGGTACAAATGTACTACTCTTCTAGCAACATATGTGGGAATAACATTTCCTTGAATTCTGACCAACATTCAAATTTAACTATTCTTGCCTATCTGATAAGCAAAAATGTACCTGATTGTTTTAACTTGGAAGACATTATTTCAATATCATGATTTCCATAATTTCTATCATTTGGTGTTCTTATAAAAGCTATCTCTCATCTTATCCTGGAGATCTTTCCTTCACATGGGAACCTCTACATGACACAGAAAAGAAAAGATGGATGGGTGGGGAGAGTCTAGATTTTTATTCTAGCTGTTATGCATGGTGAGGCCAGCTTAAGAAACACATGGCTTTTAAAAGACTTTCCATTGTATTTGGAGCAGACCAGACTTTTAACCACAATCCAGAGACTTTTAACTTCACAAAGATGTGGCATTTTATTTTAATAAAGCTATCGACAGAGCTCCATTTTCGAGTGACTTTTCAAAAGCATCTTTTGTCAGCAGAGGGCTTTTATTAGCTAATGTAACCTTTCTGTACTCCACGTTAGCAGAGAGAGAAAGGAAATGTCCTTGGGTTCCAAATATGGAAAGTTGTGCAAAGACTCTCAAGGAGAAAAAAGTTGTTCCGCTTTCTGAAGCTGCATTTGTCACTCAATGTTGTATCGTAACTGAAAGTAATGAACTTTCCAATGCTACTGTCCAGAAGGTAAAAGGTTCACAAGATTATGCCTCTAAACTGGCAATTGCATAAAAAGAGATCACAAAGGATTAAAATGTGGAGAGCAAGTAAAAATGTGAATTTAGCTGTGAGTGACAACTTGGAGAGACTCAGCTATAAAATATCTGAAATGGGGGGAGTTAGGCAAGACCTAGGAGGGAGGAGTGAGAGTAACAGTCTTGGCTGTGGAACAGGGTAGCTAAATGTTTAGGGCTTAATCTGAGCCACTACTGATAATTAAGCAGCATCGATAAACTGAAGGAGCATGGGGAAGGAGTATAGATTGTGGACTCTGGGTGCAATTCCTGTGGGGTGTTGGTGTTGTGGTTCCATTAATTAGTCCTTCGATGTAAGAGCTCAGTCAGTAGCGGAAGAGGCTGATGACAGGGGCTTTGACAGGTCTTAGGACACTGGGAAAATAGATTAAGATTCTGGAGCAGGGCTAGTGCAGTGTGGGATCTGAACGTGTTGTCAGGACCGAGCCCAGCTCTTTGATTAAGGTCAACATAGTAGGAATGGAGAAAGTCACTTAAACGGGAACCTGAACCGGGGCTTCATTTCAAAGCCCATGGAACAGATAGGGAAGGGTGACTAATGACTTTTCTGCTGTTGCAGTCTGGCTCACAAACTGAGTAAGGCACAAAAGGCAGAAGTGGTGTTGATAGCAAAGGGTCATCAGAGAAGGCAGGAAGGACACCCTGTCACACTGCCCCTTGGCTCCCCTGATATCACTATGTTTTTCTTTTTTTTTTCCCCTCATCCTTGTTAGGAACTGGCAGGTAGTTGTGCTTGATGTCTATTAGACTCCAATTCAATTTTGAGGTCCATAATTCAATGGGGATAGATATAAAAAGGGTTCCTTTTTCATTAAAAGGGTAATTACCTCGTTATCAGAGTGCTGGAAAGATGAGAGCTTATGGATTTTTCATAAAATTATAAGTTTATAAGGGGCCAGGTGAAGTCATCTTATTCTGTCCTCAAGCCAGGGACAAATTTAATTCACCCTTGATGGATGGGACATTGTTTAACAAGGATCTCTAGAGAACAAGCGTTGATAACTTTCAGTGTTTTGCAGCCCTCAGTTGTGATATTTCTTCTATCCTGTTGAATATATTGACACAGAATGGAAGTCCATAATCTTTTGTGTTCTCTTTGGGTAGAAAGAACAGTGTTATAAATGTACTTCATTTTCATTATGTTAAAGAATACTTATCAAATGCCTTATAGGTGCTTGGTGCCAGATACAACTGTGACACAGGGAGGAAGACAGACTTGATCCCTGCTGTCATTTAGCTGTGAGACTCATGAGGGATAATAACCGATAATCACATCAGTAAATGACTACAAATTGTAATAAGTGCTGGGAAGGAAACACTAAGGCATAGCTACAGAGGATAGCAAGAGGAAGCTAAGACCTCACTGAGCCTCCAGCTCTGGCCACTGAGTGATGGTGCCTTCTGTCTGCCAGGGTGGGATCGGGCACTCATCCAGTTGCAGGTGTGAGCACTATTGAGTAGCGCAGGGTCTTGAGCTGTGGCCATGGACTTGGGCAACAGGAAATTAGAAATATCCTCTGGAAAGCTGGCCGGATTTGCAGATGGCTCTGCTGTAGTACAGTCAGGTGACACTGCAGTAATGGTCACAGCGGTCAGTAAAACAAAACCTTCACCTTTCCAGTTTATGCCTTTGGTGGTTGACTACAGACAAAAGGCTGCTGCAGCAGGTAGAATTCCCACAAACCCTCTGAGAAGAGAGATTGGTACTTCTGATAAAAAAAATTCTTATAAGTTGAATAATAGATTGTTCAATTAGACCTATCTTTCCAGCTGGCTACTTCTATGATATACAGGTTCTGTGTAATCTGTTAGCTGTAGATGGTATTAATGAGCTTGATGTCTTAGCAATTAATGGCGTCTCTGTAGCCCTCTCATGATCAGATATTCTTTGGAATGGACCTGTTGGGGCAGTATGAACAGGAATGACTGATGGAGAATGTGTTGTTAACCCAACAAGAAAAGAAATGTCTTCTAGTACTTTAAATGTAGTGGTTGCTGGAGCACCTAAAAGTCAGATTGTCATGTTGGAAGCCTCTGCAGAGAACATTTTACAGCAGGACTTTTGCCATGCTGTCAAAGTGGGAGTGAAATATACCCAACAAATAATTCAGGGCATCCAGCAGTCAGTAAAGAAATTGGTGTTACCAAGAGGACACCTCAGAAGTTACTTACCCCTTCACCAGAGATTGTGAAACATGCTTATAAACTTGATATGGAGAGACTCTATGCAGTTTTTACAGATTGTGAACATGATAAAATTTCCAGAGATGAAGCTGTTAACAAAATAAGATTAGATACAGAGGAGCAACTAAAAGAAATATTTCCAGAGGTTGATCTATATGAATTAATAGAATTATTCAATGTTGTTGCAAAGGAAGTTTTTAGAAGTATTATTTTGAATGAATACAAAAGATGCCATGGTCGGGATTTGACTTTACTTAGGAATATAGCTTGTGAGGTAGATATGTTTAAAACCCTTCATGGATCAGAATTATTTCAAAGAGGACAACACAGGTGCTTTGTACTGTTACATTTGATTCATTAGAATCTAGTATTAAGTTGGATCAAGTTATAATAGCTATAAATGGGATATATGGGATACTATGAGTTTCCTCCTTATGCAACTAATGAAATTGTCAAAGTCACTGGTTTAAATAGAAGAGAACTTGGGCATGGTGCTCTTGCTGAGAAAGCTTTGTAAAATGTTATTCCCAAATATTTTCTTATCACTGTAAGAGTTACATCTCAAGTCCTAGAGTCAAATGGGCCATGTTCTATGGCATCTGCATGGGGTGGAAGTTTAGCGTTAATGGATTCAGGGGGTCCAATTTCACCTACTGTCACAGGCGTAGCAATGGGATTGGCCACCAAAACCGATCTTGAGAAGGGTGAAATAGAAGATTATCATTTGCTAACAGATATTCTGGGAATTGAAGATTACAGTGGTGACATGGACTTCAAAATAGCTGGCACTAATAAAGGGATAACTGCATTACACGCTGATATTAAATTACCTGGAATACCAATGAAAATTGTAATGGAGGCTATTCAACAGGCTTCAGTGGCAAAAAAGGAGATATTACAGATCATGAACAAAACTATTTCAAAATCTCAAACATCTAGAAAAGAAAATGGACCTGTTGTAGAAACTGTTCAGGTTCCATTATCAAAACTAGAAAAACTTGTTGGACTGGGTGGATATAACTTAAAAAACATCAGATTGAAACAGTTGTAACTATTAGTCAGGTGGATGAAGAAACGTTTTCTATATTTGCATCAACACCCAGTGCTATGCATGAGGCAAGAGACTTCATTGCCGAAATCTGCAAGGAAGATCAGGAGCAGCAATTAGAATTTGGAGCAGGGTATACCGCCACAATAACTGAAAGCAGAGATACTGGTGTAATGGTAAAATTATATCCAAATATGACTGCGGTACTGCTTTATAACACACAAGTTGATCAATGAAAGATTAAACATCCTACTGCCCTAGGATTAGAAGTTGGCCAAGAAATTCAGGTGAAATACTTTGGATGTGACCCAGCTGATGGAAGAATGAGGCTTTCTCATAAAGTGCTTCAGTCTCCAGCTACAACTGTTGTCAGAAGTTTGAATGACAGAAGCAGTATTGTAATGGGAAAACCTATTTTACAGTCATCTAATTATTCTCCGTGATTTTTTTAAAGAGAAATCCAGAATTCTATTTTTTCTAGGGTAAGGTGCTATAGAGCAAAATTTTAGTAGTATCTTCCATTGTGTAGATTTATATACGGTATAAATATATTCTAATTATTTGTATTAAAATGCTCATTTACATGTGCCAATTTTGAAATTCAAGAGTAACCTATATTCGTTTAATCTTATTTACATTATAAATCAAGAAATATTATTAAAAGTAAGTCATCTATACATCTTAGAAAAGATTACATACCTTTGTTTCTCTAATTCTGAAATATATGAAAAACATAGATATGTCATATATAGTATTATAACAGATCTCTTCCTACATCTCATTTGTCTTCTTTATATACAGTAGTGACAATTTACCCTCAGTCATCCTACAGCTCACCTCTTTGCCCAACAACTTTACTTGCCTACAACTGTCCATAAACTGGAACAGGCCATATTCAAAGCCAGTGCCTATTTATTCAGAATGATTACTAGACATAGTGAGTTGAGGGAGCTAATCTTATACACTTTTAATAATACGATGTCTTTTAAATTTGTCACAAAATCATGAACATAGTGGAATAAATATAAATGAGATTCTAACTAGGATGAGGTAGTAATTATGTATATTTTTCAAATTTACCTAAACATAGGAAAATTATTTACTTGTCAAATTGAACTAGGTCACTTTTGGAATATGTATATTGCTCTAATGTCTGGAAGTTCTTAGTATAAGAGCTGGAGGAATCATGACTTTCAGTTAATAGATGTTTGAAATAGATGTTTAGAGGTTACTGATATACATGTCAAGTTGTTCATTCCCATCATTTAAAATATCACCTTATAATTCCACACAAAAGTAAATGGCATGTGGATGTCATAATTTAGAATGTGTAATCTTTTTAAAAATCTTATAAAAATACACTGGACTCAGTGGTACGTGCCTGTAGTCCCAGCTACTTGGGAGGCTGAGGTGGGAAGATCACTTGAACCCAGAAGTTCAACACTGTAGTGTGCAACAATCATGCCTATGAATAGCTACTTCACTCCAGCCTGGGCAACATAGCAGGACTCTATCTTTAAAAAATGTTTTAAATCTCATTAAAAAAAAGTAAATCTGGCCGGGCATACTGACTTGCGCCTGTAATCCCTTTGGGAGGGTGAGGCGGGTGGATCACCTGAGGTCAGGAGTTCGAGACCACCCTGGCCAACATGGCAAAACCCTGTCTCTACTAAAAATACAAGAATTAGCTGAGCATGGTGGCAAGAGCCTGTAATCCCAGCTACTCAAGAGGCTGAGGCAGGAGAATCTCTTGAACCTGGGAGTCAGAGGTTGCAGTGAGCCAAGATCGCACCAGTGCTCTCCAGCATGGCCAACAAGGGTGAAACTCTGTCTCAAAAAAAAAAAAAAAAAAAAAAAAGGGGAAAATTTAATATATAGGGAAAACTAGTTCATAAAATATTAAAAATTTAGCTGGTTAAACCAAATATTTTAAAGATATGTATATTTATATCAAACATTGATCATATATCTATTGTGTGTAAAACAGCATGTTAGGCAATGTTGATATACTTTCTGAAATATTAATGATTAATTGAAAATGAAAGGTTAAATTAAAAAGAAAACCTCATTGAGATGAGTGATCAGGAAAGGCCTCTTTTTTATAAGTGACACATAACATGAGCCCCGAATTATAAAAGGAACTAGCCTTTCACAATGAAAAGAAGAACACTTCTGACAGTGGGAGCAGCATGTGCAAAGGCCCTGCACTAGAAAAAGCACAGTGCATTTTGGGAATTTAGAGAGTTCACTATGCCAGGAGCGGAGGGGTCAAGGAAGAAGGTGGCATGCTATGAGATTAGAGAAGTAAGGGGCCAAATAATGCTTGATCTTATAGGCAATGGTGAAGAGTTTAGATTTTATTGTAAATGGAATGTATTTAAAAGATCACTCTGGCTGCTGTGTGGCAAATGAACTGGAAGTGGAAAAATCAGAACAGAGAGAGAGAGAGGTTAGGAGGCAGTCCAGGAGGAAGATGTTGGTGGCTTGGACTAAGCTGGAGTCAGAGAAAGTGGATAGATGTTTTCGAGATACACTTAGGAGGTCTTACTGATGGTTGGATGTAGGGAAAGGGTAAAGAAAAGATACAAATTCAAGACTGACACTGGTAAGATGATAGTTCCATCTGGTAGATAGAGAACAAGCAGGGAGGAACAAGCCTGTAGTGGGAAGAATGGGGGGCAGATGTTTACATTTGCACATGTTAAGTTTGAGCTGCTTGGGAGACCCAGAAATAGAACTGTTGATTCTAAGTCTGGAGTTCAGAGATGTCAAAACTGGAGAAATACATTTGGATGACTAAGTCTGTCAATGAGAATAAAAGCTTGGGAAAAGAATGAGATAAGGAAGAGGAGGAGAGAGAAAGAAAGGAGGCCCAGTTGTGAACTTCAAGAAACTCTGAACATCCCCCCACAGCCTTGAGAACAATTGATTGCAGAGTAGAGAGAGCACCAGACTCAAAAGGATGTGGGTTCTAATCCCATTTTAGTTTTAGACACTATGACCTGGGGCAAGTAACTGCTTCTTTCTGAACTCAGGATCTATACTTTAAGGTAAAAATTATTCTCTAATTCTCTTCCATCACCAATATTCTGTAATTCTCTTGGTATTAGGCTCATTTTCCAATTACTTTGGGCGTACTTGTAACTCTCTTTACCTACCTTAAATTGTCATATCCAGAATACCCTTTTCTAATCATGATTTGAATTTTAGGTGCATTAAGTTAACATTCCTCTAAATCTTTCCCTTCTGCCAAATTGTGATTTCTTGGGGGGTGGAGGGGCAGTTGTGCTTGTGCTTTTTGGCTTGTGCATTCCAATCCAATTTGGGCACAGTGAGGCATCTGTGGCACAATGGAGATTGGTATTGGTAGGCTTCCTTGTTTGTTAAAAATGAACTTCCTTATTTTTGCCATTTCCGTTGAGCTCAATTTCCCAGTCTCTTTTAAATCAGCTTTAGAGATTTGAGGATTGCCAGTGGGGTGTGTTATTTGACCTCACTTAATGTTTGTGTTTGGTTCAGATCATAAAGCAAACCAAATTGACTGCCTCTGCTCAGTACCCAATAGGACTTATAACCCAGGCAAAATGTGGGTTGAAAGATGTATTCCCAATTGCAATGTAGTGGAAGTGTTTGTATTAACAAAGTTTCAGAGAACTGCTTAAGGATCTCAGGGTGGTATCTGTTCTAGAGATTTTTTTCTTAACAAATTAACACTGTCAAATTATTCCGGTGGAAATAATTTTTTAACAAAGTGTCTTTGCTGTCCTGTCACAGTGCTTTATTGCTAATTTTTCTCATGAGCTGATTCTCCCTGTTGCTTTTGCCTTTGTCTCACAATGCACCATCTGAACCTACTAAGAAAGTTGGAAAAAAAATTTTAAAAAGACTTTATACTAAAAAACAAAAACCACAGTTCAGTGGTTAGTAAAAAATGATAGCTAAGATAGCAATTAGATGTCCTTTCCTTTTGACCTAATAAAGACTCTGAAACTGGCACTGGGTCATTTCAGCAAACACAATTGTTATAGTAATGACTTTCCTCCTATTATAGGTAAGTGCTTTTCAGTAATTTATCTTTACTACATATCCCTGTTTTCAGGATTCAAGCCTCTAGTCATGACTGATATGGTTATTAGAGACAGAAGAGGTTAGATTAAAGAAAGCAATAATTCCTTGTTGCATCTTGGGTTATTTGGCCAAATTAACAGTGATGTTAAATGCGTGATGCACGTAATGAATGTAGTGAGGTATAAGCCAGTACCATGATTGTGCCCAGGTGAAATACAACATTATCAGCCTGCTTTTGCATATTTTTTCCTTCATGGTCCTAGATGGAAACCCTTTCAAATTCTCCAAAATAGATTCAGCTAGGGGAAACCTCAATATCTGCTTTTATATGAGGCAAATATTCCCAAATTGTGACTTTGACTGCATTATTTACCCTTCCCCTTTTCTACCTTTTGAAAGTTGAATTGTGCCCCCTCCCAAAAAGTATATGTCCACGTCTTAACCCCCAGTACCTGTGAATGTACCCCGATTTGGAGAAAAGGTATGTGTGGATGTAATTCAGTGAAGGATCTCTAGATAAAATCATCCTGAGTTTACTGGGTGAACCCTAAATCCAATGACAAGTGTCCTTATAAGAAGAAGAGAAGACATAAACAGAGGATAGGATAAGGCCGTGTGAAAACAAGGCAAATATTGGAGTGATTTGTCTGCAAGTGAACTAACATCAAGGATTTCAAACAATCACCAAAACTAAGAGAGAGTTGTAGAATGGATTCTCCTTCAGAACCTTCAGAAGGAACTAGCCCTACCAACACTTTGGTTTTGGATTTCTGGTCTATAGAATTGGGAAAGAATAAATTTTCTTTCTTTCTTTCTTTCTTTCTCTTTCTTTCTTTCTTTCTTTCTTTCTTTCTTTCTTTCTTTCTTTCTTTCTTTCTTTCTTTCTTTCTCTCTCTCTTTCTTCTTTCTCTCTCCGTCTTTCGGTCTCTCTCTCGTCCTGTTCTCTCCTTCTCTCGTCGATCTGCGCCCTGCTCCGACTCTCGCTTTCTCGCCTCATTGCTTTCTTTCTGTTTGAATCTCTTCCTTTCTTTCTTTCTTCTTTCTTCTTTTTCTTCTCTTTCTCTTTCTCTTTCTTTCTTTTCTCTCTCTTGCTCCTCTCTCTCTTCTTCTCCTCAGCTCCCTCCTCACCTCTCTCGTCGTCCTTCCTTCCTTCCCTCGGCCTCCCCTCTCCCGTTACCTGCCGCCTTCTTTCCTTGCCTTAATCCTCCCTTCCCGTCTCGCTCCTCGAAGGCCTCGGGCCCGTCCCTTCCTCTTCCTCCTTTCCTTTCCTT